GTGTGTGTGTGTGTGTGTGTGTGTGTGTGTGTGTGTGTGTTTTCACATTCAGAATCTAAAAAACACCTTCAGGCTTCAGCAGCGTCCATTATAAAACACTCGTGCTTTTAAGCCAAATACTCGCTGAAAAGAATAATTCTAGACCTGACTCTTAAGCAATCTCTGATGAAACCGGTCGGGTTTTCTCTGTAGCAGTTTTGAACTTAGGCTACTGTTTGAAGGCATTCGTTTACTGGATCCTTGGACTGAAAAGTTTACAGGAGTTTACCGGTTTAAAACGCAAAAACATGCTTCTTTTCCTTTTTAAGGTATTGTTTTCATTATAATGCACTGATTCAAATTAGTAGTCAATAATTAAATATTATTTTATCACTCCTGACATGCACTCACGCCACAGACCGACTCCGCTTGCATTCACGTGATTTGTCGAGATGAGAGGCGGGCGTGGGCGCAGATATCAATCAAATTTAAAGGGAAGCCGGCGCATCCTGACTTTACTGGTCTTTACTGGGTATGTTTAGGGAATATTGGCATTTATTTACATGTGATTTGATTAGCTAGTCATGGTGAGCTGTCATGATTTTGGCTAATGCAGGACACTAATGAATAATGCACATCAGAGGGGATTTAGAAGTGGGTATACGCAAAGCCGACTGATAAAGAAGCCACTACACCACTGGTAACAACCCATACAGCATTTCAAAATATACACAAATATATATTATATAAAATAACAAATATATAATATATAAAAATGTTTACAAATATTTTTGGCCTTTTTTTAATTTTATGAATGCATGTATGTATGTATGTGTTTATTTATTTATTTATTTAATTTATTTATTTATTTTTGTGTGGGGGGGTATTTTGAAAATATATTATAAAAATATAAATATATTAAAAACATGTAAAACATGTTTTGCGCTATATATTTCAAAGCAAGAAAATAACTTTGCATGTGTCACATTTGAAGAAAAACTTTGTTGTCTATAAAACGTATGAACATATAACACATTTAAATTAAATTCAAACTACTGCTACTGTAAGATTTTCTTGCCCCTGAAATACATTTTGTAATATATTGTATGTTGAAACAAAAAATATTTTCTATTTCAAAAATGTTTTTCATTGAACTATATATTGATCACTTATTTATTCTTTTATTTATTTATTCATTCATACATTCATTCATTTACTTTGCCGTATGGGAAATTAGGTTAGATTTGTATGTGTTTGTTTTTAAGGACATTTTCATATTTGTACGCTGATGTTTTTAATCTTACCACCTTCCCCATTCACACTACAAAGCTGTCTGAGTTTACTCATAACTCAATTATATATATATATATATATATATTGGTTAACTTTATTTATCAAATAGATAGTCAAACCAAAATGTATTCAGACACCAACATTTCTCACATGATCACAGTTTATTCGCTATAGTTTAGAACATGGTAATAAAATATAACAAGAACTCAGAGTTAAACTGAGTCAGAACAAATTCAGCTTGATAATGTTAGATAACTTTGATAGAAAGGTATGTAGCCTAATGGATTAAAATCAACCAAAATTCAGACAGCTGTTAGTATGACAGTATTTACACAACTATCAATACTTAGTCGGGCAGCCCTTAGCCTCAATGACAGCCTGTAGTCTCCTGGGCATGCTGTCAGCCAGCTTCATGCAAACCTCAACTTTTTTCTGTTTTACTGGTCGTCCACTGTATGAAGAAATCTTGGGTATGATTTGTCACAGTTTACTTTATTTTGCTCTCCTCACTTACATAAATGAACTATAGTATCCTGCACCCCCTAGTAAAAAAATATCAAAAATTATATCTGGTCTCTGAATAATTTTTGGTTTGACTGTATATCCTTCTGTTATTTTCACACTTAATTATGCCCATTAAAATGTATTTTACAAGTTTTTGTTACTTTCACTGTTCATT